GCGAGATACTGTAAATAAATAACTACACTCTCCTTAAATGAAATTGCTGTTGGGCTGGCGCCGTGGCGTATAAGTAACACTTGTTATGGCGCTGAAGCGTGTAAGAATTTTCGGCGGCATACACATGAATGATAACTTGAACAAGGAGATAATATGATTGTTGTGATTATGATGAGTTTGATGGTGATGAATATGCGTGGGCATTAGCTGTAAGCAGAGGCTTCCAGAACTTTAAATTATAAATAAGTAATTAATCGTATGCCTGAAAAATGAAAGCAAATTTTAATAAATAAGGTGATTTTAAAAATGGTTTAAATGCTGAAATTATTATATTGACAAATAGCAAATTTAATTAAATTAAATAAAATAAAATAAAATAAAATAAAATAAAATAAAATAAAATAAAATAAAATAAAATACAATAAAATACAATAAACTAAAATAAAATAAAATAAAATAAAATAAATAAAAATAAAATAAAATAAAATAAAATAAAATAAAATAAAATAAAATAAAATAAAATAAAATAAAATAAAATAAAATAAAATAAAATAAAATAAAATAAAATAAAATAAAATAAAATAAAATAAAATAAAATAAAATAAAATAAAATAAAATAAAATAAAATAAAATAAAATAAAATAAAATAAAATAAAATAAAATAAAATAAAATAAAATAAAATAAAATAAAATAAAATAAAATAAAATAAAATAAAATAAAAAAATAAAATAAAATAAAATAAAATAAAATAAAATAAAATAAAATAAAATAAAATAAAATAAAATAAAAACAAAAATTAAAAAAAATAAAATAAAATAAAATAAAATAAAATAAAATAAAATAAAATAAAATAAAATAAAATAAAATAAAATAAAATAAAATAAAATAAAATAAAATAAAAAAATAAAATAAAATAAAATAAAATAAAATAAAAAAGTAAATAAAATAAAATAAAATAAATTAAAGAATGAATTAAAATAAAACTAAAAGCAATATAAAATGAAATCAAACAATGTTGAGTAAAACAAGAAAAAAGTAAACGAATAAGAATAATAAAAAAGTTGCTAATTTATTTCTGAATATTTTTTTTTTCAAAATTTTTTTAAAGATGTGGCAACATTATTTAGATACATTTTCCGCCATCATGCTTCTTCTCTCTTTCCTCATCTATTCTATTGTTTTATATATATTATATTTATTAATTCAAATTGTTCGTTTTTTGAAAATTTTACAAAGATGGCAACACTGTCAAAATATATTCAACAATATATTTTTTTATTTCAATTTTTAATGGGAGGACCTTAATCTAGCATTTTGTACTATTTTAACAAATTTATTATTATTTTTTCCTCTTTTCTGTTATTTGCTAATAATTAAATATTTTATTAGCTTAGGTTCGTGATCCTTAGCGAATTCTCACGAATTACAGCATATGAGGTTAAAGCGCCCAAGGAAACCCTAGTCATGGTGGAATCTACAACTTTTCACAAAAACACTTCCGCGTGCACGCGCGAACAAAACAAACTCATTTTCTCACTTTCCTCGCACAAAAGAATGTGCTGTGGCTTTTACATGAAAACTTAAAACTGCACGCATATACGGTTTTACACGCTTACCACATCGCTCTCACATCCTCTATGCGAACAACAAAGCGGCACAAAACTTTTCACTTTGCAAGGCAAAATGCGTAACAGATTTTTAGTTTGAGTTTTCGTATTTCTTTTGTTCTCGTTTCTTTTTTTGCGATTTTCGTTAAGCCAATATTGCTTTGACGTACATGCCCGGCTTTGCTGGCAAATTTATTACGCACATATTGTTTGCATTTTGTTTTTACTCTTCTTCTTTTCCTCGTTTTTTTTCTGCTTTACTGTTTTTTGTTGGCAAACAAATTTACAGTAAGTCAATGTTCACGGAGTTCATAAGCAGAAGCAGTAGAAATACCGGCGAGTGTGTGCACGAGTGTGCAAGTAAATATTTATATATAAACGCATATACATATACATATGTACATATGTTGATATGTATACATTTGAACATTGCATTTCTGCAAATATTTACCCATGATTGCATACATGCTCTGGTATGTGCGCGTCATTAGGGTGTCAGCTGCAGAGCAAGTTGATTCTTATGTTTGTCGCATGCGATACATTTTTACTCAAGAATTATTTATAAAATAAAAACATCAATAAAATAGCTCATAAACAAAAATTAAGAATAATAAATGATTCCAACCACATTTTACATTTCTGAAACAATTTTTTTTTTATTATTTATTTATTTATTTATTTTTTTATTTATTTATTTATTTATTTATTTATTGTTCGTTTTTTTTATAATTTTTTTTTTAATAAGACCGCTAAGTCTCGCATTAGTTCCTAAAAAACGTTTAAAATGTTGTACTCCTATTATTTTACCGATCGTTACTTTTCAGGCATGAAATGTGGTCGCTTGACCCAAGAATAGTGGTATTGATGTGAATGGTCTTATTTCATCACACCTGAACCCTTTTCTGGCTTACTATTACTCGTAATGTTCACCGTGGCTTGCTGGCCGGCTGATCCAACTTAAGCGAGCACAACCTTTCGAGCTCGCCCTTCGTTAGCCTTTTGTCGATACTGTTATGATATTTATAGGTCATTTTTGCCATGACTTTCCACACGCCAGGCATTCCTTCTCCAGGAAAATCTAGTCTGCAATAGTCCGAAAGTACTTTATTTGCCGCGTGAATATTGGTTCCCTACCGATTACTGTTGCTTTGGTTGCAGTTTTTGTTGTTTTTACTCATAGATTTCCTACATCAGCGCAGTATAAGTGATACTAGAATAGAGTGGGGAAAGTTCAAGTTGAACACTGTAGAGCCACTATTACTGCTTGAGATGGCTAAATGTTAGAAAAACTACATTAAAAGGCAGTCGATAGTACCCTCTCTGCAAATCATACAATTAGAGGAGAGTCAATCATTGGTACTAGCAGGTGGTGCTGAGCTAACCCTCTCCTCATAAGAACTAATAGGCGATACACATTCACGAAGGCCATGTAAAAGTATCTGCAGGGTCTGAGCGCAGAAAAAAAATGAATTTTATCTTTTGTTTTTATTTGCTTTAAATAATGATATTACTTTATAACATGAAGTCAAATTTATTTTATTCTAAAATTTATTTACTGAAATTGGGATCAATTTAAAAAAAAGTGACTTAAAATAAATGAATAAAATTAAATAAAATAAAAATAAAAAAATTAAATGAAATAATTTAACTAAATAAAAATAATACGGAATAAAAATAAATAAAATAAAATAAAACAATATAAAATAAAATAAAATAAAATAAAATAAAATAAAATAAAATAAAATAAAATAAAATAAAATAAAATAAAATAAAATAAAATAATTTAACATGAAAAATAAAATTAAACAAATTTAAATAAAAATAAAATAAAATAATTAATTGAAACAAAATTAAACAATTAATAAAAATAATATAAAATAAAAAATAAAAATAAATAAAAATTAAATAAAATTTTAAATGAAATAAAATTAAATTAAATAAAAAGAATATTAGTTAATAAAATATAAAATAAAACAAATGAAAATGAGAAAAAATATAATATAAATTGAGCAAAAAATTAAAAAAAAAAAAACAATGTGAAATAATGCGAAATGAATTAAATAAAAATTGTATAAATTTAAAAAAATTTAAATAAAATTAACTAAAATAAAATAAATTTGAAATGAAATTAACTTAAATAAAATGATTCAAACAGAATAAAATAAAATTTAATTATGTAGAATGATAATAAATAAAATAAAATAAAATAAAATAAATTAAATTAATTTAATTCAAATTTTTTGCGTAACTGCAGTATAACCTAATAAACACGCACACACACGTGCATACTACGCTTGTTGTACATTAATTTACTTTACTTCTTTGCCTTAATCGCAAACTGAAAAGTTTTAAACTTATCGTTGAATTGTGTAAATGCTTTCGTGGCTTTACTCATTATGGTTTTTTGTATTTTTTTTTTTGTGATTTTCTCATTGATTGGCTATAATTACCGATTACCGCATACACTTATACAGTACATATTTACTTAATGTTATTGAGGCACTCACGTGTTGTTGAACACATAAACATACACAGATAAAATTAGCTTGATTACTTCCTCAATGGCACGTGATTGACTTGCTGTTAATGATTTTAAGCTACATTTTGATTGCATATAAACTTAATGAGTGGAATTCACACAGATAATGAATTTATGTAAATTTTCATGGTTATGTCATTTACGAAATTTCAAAAAAAAATTTAAATATGCTAGACTTCTTATGAATTGCAAATAAATTGATGGGTGGTTGTATGTATACTGAATGTTTTCGTAATATTTTTTATACAAGTCACAATAATTTCCAATGATTTTTTTCTCTCATTTCATTAATATGTAAACAGTTAAGTTGTAGAATATTTCAAAATGTAAAAAAATAAAATTTTTTGAATTAATAAGAATAAGCGATTGTGCACCAAATTAGTAAAGGAAGATTTCATTGAACACATTTTCATACAATAATGATTCTTTGCAGCCAAGTTTGGCTAATTTTGAGACAAAGGACAATATAAAAATGTCTCACTTTAGTTCAGATTATACTATTATCTATTATTGTTATTATTATTATTATTATTATTATTATTATTATTATTATTATTGCTTTTATCTATTTCTCATGAAAATTTTTTCAAAATTTCAAATAAATTCTTTTGTGTTGTAATACTTTTTCCAAATTCTTTTTAAATTTCAATTTTTGTTGAAATACAGTCTTTTGTACAACGTACATATCCAAGCAACTCTGAGTTATTTTAAGCAACTTCACTTGCTTTTGAACTATCAGTGAATAAACATCTAATTATATGACGTTAAGCTACGTTCTGCGTGATTTAATAATAATATTTCTAACAATTTTTTTCTTTTTTTATTTTTTTTTTTTTTAAATTAAAGTACTTACCTTTCTATAAGATATATTGATAAATTTTGTAGCACACAAAAGAGACCCACACAGAAATCAGCTAAAGCCAAATTTGCCAGGAAGAAGTTCGTTATTGAGCGTAAGCGACGCGATAGAGTTACGACCAGTATCACAAGTAGGTTTCCTGGAAATAAATTTAAGAAAATTTTCTCATTATGTACAGGCTAAATGGAAAAATTTCAAATATTCATATAGATGTTATATATAAATCCCTTAGTTCGCATTGCATTCTTTGCATTATTTTGCATCTAATCTATCTCTCTCACAGAACTCTCTTTCAGGCGCATATCTCTGCCATCTGGGGCCTGCTTTAATACTAGAAATATCGTTGCTCTACACACGAAATGATCAAGCAGGACAGAATATCTCCCAGTGAACCCTGGCGCCAAGAGCAACAGTACGAAAGCAGCCTCCTAAAGAACGTATTGGTATATCTTTTGCCCAAGTAAACTGCTTCTAATGGAATTCCCTTATGAACACGCTGCGTTTAAATGAAATATATCTACGACTTGCCACAATACTAGGCAAACCTAGCTAAAATAGGCTACTGTCACAGTAATTATTGTGCATTTTAGTCTTCTGTCGGTGTATATCGAGGTGGGATGTGGCTAAGTAGGAGTTTAATTTGCTACAATATCCAGGTCTGACTTGTGTTAGGCTGACTCCGAAATGCCATTCGCAGGAATAGAGTTCATGAAGGTGTTAACTGACTCAAGTTGAATGGCGTTTCATTTTTGTCTTTACGCCGTTCTGTCTTGTCTTTACGCCGTTCTGTCTTGTCTTTACGCCTTTGTTGTTGCATATGTTGCTGAACACAGTTCTTTAGATTAAGTACTACCTATATGATGAGCCTGGGGTGTGGCCTGTAATAAGTGTCTGCCGTGGTGCTCCCTACGATATCACTCCAATAGAAACAACTTCCGTAGCAAGGCATTGTGATTTTTAACTCAAAGACCAGATGCTTCGTTGTGCAAGTGTTGCTCTGGCGACATCAGAAGGTCTTGAAGGTGAAAAACATCAAGACGAAAAACACAAATTGGAGGAGGAGCCCGGCCGAAAAATCGCTTCAACGGTTAAAAAGCGCCAATTATATATATATATATATATAAGAGTTGTCACCCTTTCGGCGACTTAATCACGTTTAGGTCAGCAGGTAACACAAGTTAGGTTAGTATTAGTGGATGGTGTGACTTCAATAATTATTTTATCCAAATGACAGGCTGTTCAGCGGCACATAAATCTCCTCTAAGCCGGCTATTAGGAAAACCTAATAAATTATTCTCTCTCACTAAAAAAGAAACCAATAAAAATAAATAAAGCAAAATTAAATCAAATAAAATAACATAAAATAAAATAAAATAAAATAAAATATAATAAAACAAAATAAAATAAAATAAAATAAAATAAAATATAAATATAAAATATAAAATAAAATAGCAATATAAAGAAAGGTAAGGTAAAAATTACATATTTATATTAAATTTAATTAAATGAAATTAAATTAAATTAGTTGGAATGAAAGCAAGTGACAAAAATATTTAAAAAAAAAAACTAATAAAATAAAATAAAACTCAAGTTAATGTTATGATGGGGTAGCAGTAAGCTTACTTAAATACTCCTTTTAATTTAACCTATCAATTGACATTTGAGTAATCAAACAGGTGACAACACTCTGCAGAGAATAGCTTACTTTTCGTCGGCTTCTTTGCCTGACTCCCGCAATTGAAAATAAATATTTTCACAAACCTCGGTTAAGGAGACGCATGCAAAGAAAGGTTCTAGGAAAGTGAAAAAGCGGCATGCAATTGCAATCCACTGTTTTAGAGTATATACATACAGACTTTTGTGTGTAATTTTGTCGCTCATAACTATAAATATTTTCAAGTGCACCACGAGCTGCATACCTCACAGCGTCATTCATTTTTGCGGCTGCTCCTTTTGCCTTTCGAAAATGAAAATGAAGCTATGGAAACTCTCTTCAGCAATGCAACAGCGGTGCATGCAACATAAAGTGAATTCATTTCAACGACAGGTGAAGCTAAATATAGCTAAGTATCTCTGCAAGCACTTTCATACAAACAGATATATAAACATTTAATGACAAAAGTTTTTCAATTAAATTTTATTAACCTTCTTAGTCGCTGCCTGCTATCCATGCGCCGCGCATTGCTCACTTGTCACTTTTTTCATTGTCATAGCCTTGACTTTGACTTGTGTCATTGCGACTCACTTGGAAAACTCTTGAGAAATTATAAAATTTCCAACTTTTTGTTTGCCACAAAAGTATATTGAAATATTTATGCAGGGGAAGAATAACTTTCAAAAGTAAATAAATAATTGTTTGACTAATTATAGGCAAGCAATGCTGAGTTTCAGTTGTGCTTTCTTGAATGAGCTTGAATGACGTGTTTCAAGTGTTGACTTGGTTTTTTGACTCTTTTTAAATTTGCAAAATGGCGCAAATCAACTCTACAACACTACAGCTCAAAGAAGTTCCAAATCTCACATATATAAAAGAATATAACTACCATTCACTTAATTAAATTATAATATTACAGCAAGTCATATCACATGATTTGAAATAAATCATATCATGTGATGTGATATCATATGCTAAAGCATATCACATAATGCTTTCTATTTATTCTTATTCTTGTAATTTAATGAATGTTTTAATATGAAGTCATACCTGCTGATATAGTATTGGTATAAGAAATTACAAAAAAAAAAAATATATAAAAAACTTAAAAAGAATATTTAATGTGATTTGTTGCAAACATAAATTTTAATCGTCTGCTTTTGGAAGTATGTTAAAAAAATCTTTCAAATCTACAATCTTGTTGTTGGTTTCTTTGTTTTATTTTTTTTGGTTTTTAACTAATATACTTTAGTACAGATTAATATTCTGACATACCTTCCAAGTGATGTGGTGCATTGTTATATGAAGTGTTGCCAGGTGATGTGATCTTGCAATATGTGGTGTTATGTGTTGTGATTTCATTTGATACTTTATGATGGGATTTGATGTGTTGTGATATGATGTGAGATGATTTTATGTAATATGATGTGCTGCGATGTGATTTGATCTGGTTACCACGTGATGTAATCTAATATGATGTGTTTTGCTGTGAAATGATGCTATTTAATAAGAAATACTCTTTTTTTATAATACCATGAAGATGCTGTCGTATGATGTTGACAAATTGAATGTGATATTGGTATAATGAAATAACAGTAAAAAAATTGGTATTCTAGGAATATTTTGTAAATTGATTTAAATGCATATGTCTTCAAATTGGGTGATATCAGCTTAATATCATATGATGCATGCCAATAGTATTATATGACCTAATATGATATATAATAACTTGTTCTTGACTAAGGTGATGTGATGTAAATTAGTACAGTGAATGAACGAATTCCGAATGGGTACGTTGCGATGTCACATCAACATCACACCATGCAAGCAATTGCGTTGCGATGGAAATTTATATAATGCATAAAAGGGATTTGTTTCAAATTGTTTCTCTTAAATAAATATTTCCCGCTGTATAGTTTTTGATGTCACATGATGCCATGTGATGTGATATAGTTTAAATTGATGCAATAAAAACGTTAAAAAAAATCTTTTTGATTATTCTTAATATTTATGGTTTCTAAAATTAAATATACGATTATATAAAACCAATAAGTGCGATGTTACATCACATCAACATCACATGATACAAACTCTTATATTATAATGCAGTTTGATATCATAAATGTGCGATGTGATATCACATCAACATCACATGATTCAAACGCTTATATTATAACGCAGCTTGATATAATACATCATTTCTTATTTAAAAAGAAACTGTCAACTTTGTTTCGATTGAATATTTCACGTGCTGATAACTAAATATTTTTCAATGATGTGATATCACATGATGTTATCTGGAGTGATGTAATTTAAATTGGTGTAATAAAAGTGTATATAAAAAATAATACTCCAGTTCTTAATTACAAAAAGTGCATTTCGGGGTGTAATGCGTTATGTGAATATGCAATCTGACTTTCACTGATATCATATGATATACCTCATATGATGTATTGCTATTTGTTCTGAGAAAACATTTTTTTATTAAAAAAACAAAATTAATCCACTTCCAGCTCCTGAACTGAATTTCTTGCCAACAAGCCATCACTCAAGTTGCCTGCAATGCATCACTTTGCCGCCGAATTTAGTTTTTTGGTACATGAAAGGTCCAGCGATTTGTTGGCCATAGACGACAAATTAAATTGTTGATCTCCACACAAAAAATGTATATATGAAGCGGAAAACTGAGTTAGTAGTTTAGTCACGCTAGTGGTGTAACGTTAGAAAATTTATTAACGAAAAAAAAAAACAAAAAAAAAATCAATTTTTTTTAGTTTTTGTTTCGCCAATTTAGCAATAACCGAAATGGCAAACAAGACGTATATACACCAGAGACTTGATAGTCAGCAGTTTGTGACACTTTTTGTTGCTTCTGGTTTTTTTTTAGTTCTAAATTTTTGGATTTTTTGACTTGCACATTTCAGTTGTTTCTAACTTTAGAAAATATTGTTATTTTTTTCAAATTTTTTCTGCAATCTCTCAAGGGAAGTGTTGTGATTTTTGGAACGCACAACCCTAAGCCCCGCATTATATTGGCCTCTATAGTCAGACGAATTTATGGCATTCAGCAAAAATGTTAACGAAAAAATGCGACATAAATACTTGGTCAACAATAATTTTTTTTTGTGCTCCACTCTGCAGTAGTTGTTGTTGCTGCTGTTCGCTTATTGACTACAAAATTGTACAATTTGGAACAGCTTCAAAGCATCTCTGGCGCTTGTCAGCCAACGCTTCACTGCTTGGTAAAATAATGCACAGACACAATAGCACAAACTGCAGGAGTGGAGACTTAAGCTGCAGCAACTCTAGTAGTAGATACAAGGAACAACCAATGCACACACATACATACTCGTACACTTGCAAAACATGTCCAAGAAAAACTGCAACAATTTGCATAAATTGACTCTGTCTTTATGGCGTGCGATTTTTTCTACTTCTTCTGCAATTTACTCCATTTTCCTCACACATACATATTTTGCAGGGGA